CCATTCACATTGAGTGTTATTACTAAAAGGTTTTTATTTATTCTTGTCATTGCATTATTTTCCTGTTGCTGATTCCTTCCCCCCCTTTTGTCTAACTGCTCACTCGACCTAGTATATTCATTTCATTAGTCTTTTTGGCATTGTTGGCTTCATTGTCTATTCCTAAGTTATGCTTGAGAAATTTTTGGAGTGCTGGTTTTGTGGTCATGAGTTTCTTAAGGTGTTCTTTGTTGTGGAAAGATGTTGTTTCTCCATCAATTTTGAAAGATCATTTTGCAGAATATCTTAGCCTGGGTTGGAAGTTGTTCTCTTTTAGGGCTTGAAACACTTCACTCTAAGATTTCCTGGCCTTAAAATTTGTGTTGAGAAGTCTGCTGTAATTTAATGGATTTACCTTTGTAAATAATTTGTCGCTTTTCTCTACCAGCTTTTAGGATTCTGTTTTTGTGTTGGACTTTCAGGATTTTGACTCTGATGTATTGTGGAGAAGTTCTTTTTCGGTCATGGCTATTTGGGATTCTGAATGCGTTTTTTTTTTTTTTTTTTTTTTTTTTTTTTTTTTTTTTTTTTTTTGGTATCAGTGGGACCTTGAGCTTGTGAGGCTGGCAGTGGAACCACTGAGCTAAATCCCCGGCCTGTGTGTTAAATTCTTTTCTCATACTTGGAAAGTTTTCTGCTATTTTTTCTATAAACAGAGTTTTTAAAATTCCATTTGTGCTGTCTTCTTTTTTTTTTCTTTTTTTGGTACTGGGGATTAAACTCAGGACCTTGCTCTTGTGAGGCAGGCAGTGGAACCACTGAGCTAAATCCCTGGCCCCTCTTTTTTTTTTTTTAATTTTATAATTTTTGGGGGGGATACCAGCGATCACACTCGGGACCTTACACTTATGAGGCAGAACCACTGTTTTTTTTCTAATTGTCTTGTTTGTAGTACACAATAATTATATTCATCATGGGGGGGGTAGTACAAGTATATAATACACTTAATTATTTTTTCATCCTTTTCTTCTCCCTTTGCTTCCCACAGAATCTTCTGATCTTTCACTAATTTTAAGTAATCTTAGGTTAGTCTTGTTTGCATCATCTAGCAGTTACTTGATTCATTTTCCATGTTCTCTTCTTGTTTTTAAGGTCACATGCATCAGCCCTATCTTCTAGTTTAAGCACTGTCCTTGGGCCAGCGATTTAGCTCAGTGATTCTGCCGCCTGCCTTATAAGCACAAGGTCCCGAGTTCGATTCCTGGTACCAAAAAAAAAAAATTAAACACTGTCCTTATTTTGGTCACTTCTGCTTCCCATAATTTTCAGTAGATTTTTTTATCTCCTAGATTTTTGTTTTGTATATTTTCATGAACTGTGGTTCTTTGCTTAACTACTCATTTATGCTTTGTACTGTTTTGTGTAGCTCAGCTAGCTATTAATGTGTTCTGTAAGCTCACTAATCATTTTGTGTGTTTATTTATCTGTTTAGTTACATCATTTTTTAACTCAGTGAGCCACCTTATTGATCTGTTTTTATAAAACTCTCCCTTTTTTTTGATACCCAGGATTGAACTCATGACCTTGAGCTTGCAAGGCAGGTGTGGTACCACTGAGCTAAATCCCCTGTCCTTTATTAATTTTATATAATTTGTCTTGCTTTTGACTTTCTCCCCACCAATGCCCCTTGGATCAGTTTTTGGGGAGTTGGGAGTTTTTGGAAGCATTTTATTGGCTTGTTTTCCTGTGTTTCTATTATTTGTGGTGTGGAGGGTTTTTGTTGCTTTGTGCTGAGGGTTGCAGGTTGATTATAGTGGACTTTGTTACTAGTATGGAGATCTCTTTAGTTAGTGTCTGTTTTCCATTGATGCACTCTGGATGTGACTAACTGTAGGCCTTTTTCTCTGTCCTAACATCTGACCATTTTTATTAATTTGGCAAGGGGAAAGTACAGTGTGATTGGCCCAGCACCTAGTTCTCTGGAAATGAACTGCAGTATTGTTGGTGACACAAAGACAAACCAGATATTGGGATACATTAAAAACCAATTAGAAAAGAAAAAAATGTGAGAGAATGAAAAGATGAAAATAAAGTGTTTGTAGATGGGGAGGGGAGGAGGGGGTGAAGGGAGGGCAGAGGTAAGGGAAAAAAATGAGAATCAAGGCTTGTCATGTAGGTGTACGATATCCCAACTATGAATGTAACTGTGCTGTATCCCTAAAATGTACCAATAAACTCAATTAAAGCTGAAGAAAAAAATAACAGTTAGTAGCAACAACTGTGCCATCACTGGCAATAGCAATAAAATTAGCAACAATAATAGATTAAAAAACAAACTGGGTATTGACATACCGTGAGAAGTAATAAGAGCTACCACTTTACCAGTGTTAACAATAGAAAAGAGGTCTTTAATTATAATATAAATACAAAGACTAAATAATGATATACATTAAATATATCAGTACTAAATGTAGCAGCTCTACCAATTCATTAGGGCTGGGGATTTAGCTCAGTGGTTTCGCTGCCTGCCTTGCAAGTGCAAGGGCCGAGTTCAATCCCCAGTACCAAAACAAACAAAAAAAAAACCCAGAATTCATTAATAGCATAGTCAGTAAACATCTAAATGTTAATAAAACTTAATACTAATAAAGATGGAAGGAAGGTGAAGGGGAAAATGAAAGAAGTTCATTTGAAAAATAAAAGGCAGATGAAGAGGAAAGGTGAGCTAATGGATCCTATAAGGAATAAAAGAAAATTAATGTAATAAGATAAAAGTAACAAATGAACAAACAAGAAGGAGGAAAAAAACAGCAAAAAAAAAAGAAAAAGAATAAAAAGAGAAATGAATCCAGAAAAAAATTCCTTCACATTTTTGAATGAATGGTTTGGTTTGGTTTGGTTTTTGAAGACAGAATCTCTCCATGTAGTTCAGCTTGGCTTTGAACTCACTTTGTGATCCAGGCTAACCTCAAACTTGCATTTTCCTCTTGCCTCAGCCTCCCAAGTGCTGGAATTACAGATATGCCATCATTCCCAGCTCTGAATGAGTGGCTTTTTTGTTGTTGTTGTTCAGTTACTTCTTTCCAGGGTCTGCAGTACTGGAATTCACCAATATGGGTGAGGGATAGTGACTGAGTCCCCAAGGCCTATTTTGTTTCCATACCCAGACTTTTATGAGTGAATACTGAATCCTGCCTCATCTTTCCTGCCAGGCGTGTTTGGTCAGTTGTTTCCACTGTAGGGTTGTATCATTGCAGCTGCTCCCAGTTTGTGTGCCCCTAGTCACAGCTTTCGCTGCCTGTCTTGATAGCCTATGGATTTGTGAGGTGTCCACCTTGTTCAGAGGTCCCTCTGTTCATACACCTCAGGCTGTAGCAACCATTCAAGCTGAGGTGTATTCCTGCATTGGTAAATGGGAAAGGCAAACAGACCATTGAGGATATTGGATAGACATTGACGTTGAGGATATCATTGGGATAGGCAAACAGACATTGAGAATGAGGGTGCTGAGTATCAGTTGGGAGAGCAGGTCAGGCAATCCACTGGGCTTAATGCCAGGAGTTTCAGGCCCAGCCCTCTCCAGAAACCACACACAACAAGACTAGCTTCTTGCCCCATAGGGTGAGACCCCCATGTCCTTCTTGGTCTGAGCTTAAATTTCTCAGGGGTCTGTGTCTATCCTGCATGCTATCCTTGACTGATTCTTGTGGCTGTCCCACCTAGTCACTGTGGTATGGTAATCCCAAAACTCCTGAAGTGAAGTTGTTCTGTGGCATAGTCTTAACACATTCATAAATGGGTTGTAATTCATATGGCTCACTGTCAAGTGACTCTGAACCTGCCCATTGGGACAGTCATGCATGTACCACTAGTGGTTCAGGCCAGTGGGAATGTGTTAAACAATTGACTCCTTACTGAAATGGCTCCTGATTAAACATTCTTAAATATGACAGGCACTGCAGTGGATTTCTTCTCCAACTCTAGCCTGCCATGTGGAAGGAGTCACTTTCAGAATATAACTTGATGCTGTTTTTGCAGTTTACAATATCCTTGGGCTTTTCTTAGGCTGACATTGCCAGCCCAGTCTGTTGTTTCTCCCTGGATCTGCTGACCTTCTCAGGATTTCCTTGTGTTAGCAGAGATAGTTCCTCCTCCCCAACAGCCAGGGTTACCTTTCCTTTACTCTGTATTGTGCTCGGTTTCTCCACCTTATCTGTAGTTTCCAGATTTATTTTTAGCTCACTCCTGATTTCTAGAGATCTACTTTTTTTTTCTTCACTGAGTTGTTGTTTTCCAAGTGTATCAATTCCAGGTTCCAGAGACGCTATATTTTGCTGTTAGTCTTATTCTGCCATCTATTTTTATTTTTTGAAGTAGGTCTTGCTGTGTTTCCCAGACTGGCATTGAACTCTTGGGCTCAAGTGGTCCTCCTACCTCAGCCTCCTAGGAACAATTCACCACACCTGGCATTTTTTTTTTCTTTGTTCAATTTTATTAGATAAAGAAAACACCTAATTTGGAATGATTTTTGAAAATCTGTGTTTGTGTTTTGGGCATGCCCCTAAAGCTCTCTGAAGCCTTGCCTTTCCCTACTGTGAATGATTACCTTTTGCATTAAACTTTGGATCACATTCATGGATTTTTTTTCTTTTCTTTTTTCCTGTTTTTTTGTTTTTGTTTTTGTTTTCATTTTTGTTTTTTGAGGCAAGGTCTCAGTATGTAGCTCAGGCTGGCCTTGAATTTACAAAGTAGCCCAGGCTGGCCTCAAAGTCAAGACAGTCCTCCTGTCTCAGCTTCCCAAGTGCTGGGATTACAGGCATATACCACCATGCCTGGCTTCATAGATGTTTTCATAACTAATATTTTATTGGATCTTCATAGCAACTTTATAGGGCAAGATGGTGGAGCTGAGACTTCTTCACTTCCCTCCACTGTATTCTGCCCATCCCTAAGCTTCTTGGGCCTTGCTAGGTGCATAAATTGAGGGGCTGCAATGAATGTGGGGCTCCTCCTTCCTACAGATATTATGGTGGGACTGAATTTATCGATGAACTGGAGATACTGTGTCAGAAGCGAGCACTACAAGCCTATCATCTGGACCCACAATGCTGGGGGGTCAACGTCCAGCCCTACTCAGGTGATTACCACATCTGTCTCATACAGCCTCTCATTGCCAGGCTTCCCAAGTTAGTGTCCACCAAAAGGGGTCCTAAGAAAGGATTCCCATAAAGAAAAATAAAGAGTAAGCCAAGCCCATCTGGGTATGTACATCCTTCTCCATTGCCCTGGGACCTCCTATCCCCGCACACCTCTCCCAGGCAGGACCCTGTCCCTGAACTTCTCCTGTAGAGTCACCTCCTGGGGCTCAAGAAATTCATGGTGATGGCCAGACATGTCCTCACTACTCCTGGGTAGTCACCTAGTAGCCAAGCTCCTGCATCTCACACTGTTTTTGGGTTTTTTTTTGTTTTGTTTTGTTTTGTTTTTTTTTTTTGTTACTGGGGACCAAACTCAGCACTTGCCAGCCAGGTGCTATGCTGCTGAGCTAAATCCCTTGCTGTATCTTATTGGTAGAAATAAGCATGGCTCCTTTGTATTCCCTATTTCAGGCTCTCCTGCAAACTTTGCAGTATACACTGCCCTGGTGGAGCCCCATGGGCGCATCATGGGCCTCGACCTGCCTGATGGGGGCCACCTGACCCATGGGTTCATGACAGACAAGAAGAAAATCTCTGCTACATCCATCTTCTTTGAATCTATGCCCTATAAGGTAAGAGACCGTTTCTCTCCACAGCTTTGCTTTCATCAGAGACTTTTGATGTCTGGCGGTACCTGTCAGGATAAATCATTTTGTTTGTGCTGCACTGTAGGCAGCCCTACCTTTTTTCATTTCTCATTTCCTTGCCCCTTGACTGTCAGGGCCCACTAGGGACAGCTGGATGGAAAGATAAGGGACTGAGGAGAGGATACAGGGAGGCAGTCGAGACCACAATTGAGAAGGCGAGCAGAGCGTTTGTCCAGTTCTGTGGGGAAATGACTGGAATACAACTCCTAGCAACCAGGTCATCCACAGCTAGATCCCCAGTAACAGCTGCCACCCAGTTCTACTTTCACCAAGTAATGTCCCTGCCTGGATCACCTGTAGGCCAGCAGTGACAAGGACAGCAACATCCCTGATGCTAGCACCAGTATGAGCCACTTCTCCATCAATATCCACAGATCTCCACAGCCCACCGAGAGCTGGCCTCTGCCAGCCATCACTGTCCCCACTGCACTGACCTGTCCTCAGCCAACCACAACAGTACCAGCCATATGCCCAGTAGTGGAAGGAATACCATCATAGAATATTTTTTGTGGGGTCCCCTGTTTAAGTAAACAGTCAAGTCAACAAGCATATATGATGCAAGGACTCATATGAGGCGTAGTGGTTTGTCTGTAAAGACTGAGGATGAGCCAGGTGTGGTGGTACTTGCCTGTAAACCAAGCACTTTTAGGAGGCTGAGGCAGAAGGATCACAAGTTTGAACCCCATCTGGGCAATTTAGCAACTTAGTAAGACCTGTCTGAGAATATTTAAAAAGGACAAGGCATGCAGCTCAATGCAGAGACCCTGGGTTCAATCCCCAGTATAGAAAAAAAAATGTATATAAATACAGACTAAAGATGATGATGATGAAAAGAAAAGAAGTAACTTTCATATTTTTATTTTTTACTGTTGTGTTCTTTCCAGCACCCGGGAATGATTTTTCATGTCTCTTATTGTCAAATGCAATATTCCTTGTTGTTTTCTATTTGCTACCATGAGAAAGTGGTAGAAGTGAATCTTATAATCACCTAAATATTTGATATGTAGTTTCTTGTTTTTAGAAAGTGAAGCTAGTGTTCCATGTTTGCCTACTGTGGTCTTCATCACAGCTTGACTATTCTGTTTTCTCAGTCTGCCCCTTGTATTCTTTCTGTCCATGTGACTTTTATTTGTTTTCCTTGAAAACCTGGGTGTTTCTAGCCACAGATCACTCCATTGGACAAAGCTAGGTTTGAAGCTGGATTTTTTTTTTTTTTGTACCAGGGGTAAATCAGGACC